GCGGGGAGGGGGGGGGGGAGGCAGGAGCTCTCACTGACCTGCCCTGGACTCCACGAGGTTGGTCAAAACAGTGAGGCCACCTCCGCAGACTCGAGGGGCATGTACAGAGAGAGCCTGCCGTATGCCCAGCACCCTCACCTGCTATTCTGTTTAAGCCGCACAGATCTTGGGAAATAGGTGGTTCATCCCCATTATACAGATGGGGAAACTGAGGCACCGGGAGGTTGAATGGCAGCCCAGGGTCACACAGGGAGTAGCCAGCCTGCCTGGCTGAGGACTGTCCCTCCTCCTGAGCTTGTCGGCTCCTTAGGGTCAGGGACCCCAGCCCGAGCGGTTCCATGTCCCGTCTTGTGGTCTTGTCATGGGAGCAGTGGCTGCAGGCAGGCTGGTTCCGTCCCCCACGACTAGGAGCGAACGGTGAACCGCGTGTGGGTTAGAAGTTACCACTAGCAGCACCGGGTGAGGATCAGGGAGTCAAACTGTGGGCCCCGGGTGAGGACCAGGGAGCGTGTCCGCCTGGACATCCGGGGTACGAAGGAATTCGGTTAATTCCTCGTGGGCGGGATGGTGCTGTTGTGGATATACGTTGTAAAGCAGCGGTTCTCGACCCGTGGGCCGCGACCCCTTTGGGGGTCGAACGACCCTTTCACAGGGGTCGCCTAAGACCATCGGAAAACACATATATCATTACATATTGTTTTTGTGATTATTCACTTTGCTTTAATTATGTTCAATTTGTAACAATGAAAATACATCCTGCCTATCAGATATTTACATGACGATTCATAACAGTAGCAACATGACAGTGATGAAGTAGCAACGAAAATAATCTTATGGCTGGGGGGCACCACAACATGAGGAACTGTATGAAAGGGTCGCGGCATTAGGAAGGTTGAGAACCACTGTTGTAAAGGGTCCTCGCCTTGCAGACAGGAAAACTGAAGTATTCCCGGAAAACCGGGGGGTTAGGGAAGCCGCTTTAAAACACTGCGAGGGAGTGGGGGACGTGGAGGGGGAGTGGGGGGCGTGGGTGGAAGGGCCTGGGCCCACTCACACTCGAGGGGCCGCGGCTGGAGGTGGGCTGTCGCCCCAGCTTCTGTGTGTGACGTTTCCCTCGCTCACTTGGGTGCCGACAGCGGCAAGACAGGCCCAGCTGTGTCTTAAGCTCTGGGTCTTCCTGGGGCGAAGGCGCCCCGAGGTTCAAGATGGTCTCATGAGTGCTGTGGGGGGCGTGACCGTCATCATGAGTGTCCCCCCCCCCCAGCTCCTGTCTGTCCTGGGGTCTCAGGCCCCTTCCTCCAGCGGGGAGGGCAGCCCCTGGTGTGAGCGCCAGCCCCACGCTGTCCCCACCTGTGTCCCCTCCGGTCCTGCCGGTTGTCACCTCTGCTTGTTGAGCGAAGGTCAGCCCGGGTCAAGGTGAGGGGCGGGGCTGGGCAGAGCGGACCGTCCTCCCTCCCTCTAAAGGGGCCGGCTCTCACCTCACCTGTGCCGCCCTCAGGGGGAGGACGCCCGGCAGGTGTGCAGCCCACGGCGCGTGAAACCCGGCCCTCGGCTCAGGTTTCGGGAACTGGATCCCCAGCGGGTCAGCTCGTGTGTCCTCGTCCCTCCCAAGTGGAGCGAGAGCCTCAGCCTCCTCCCGGCTCCTGCCTCCCTCACCAGGGCCGGGTCACAGGCCGGGGGCACCGCGGGGCAGGCGGCGGCTGGAGGAGGCTCTGTCCCACATAAACGGGGGGCAGGGGGGTCTTGAGAGCTCCCCCTGGGCCAGCCTCCTGACCTCCCTCCCCCACCTGCCCTGGTCATGCCCAGCACCCAGGAATCCCCACAGGGATGGGGTGCCGCGGGGATGGGGGTGCTGCAGGGATGGGGTGCCGCGGGAATGGGGGTGCAACAAGGATGGGGTGCCTCAGGGATGGG